TTTTTTATAGTGAACCTTCACAATAAAATAAATAAAACAAGACAAAGAAAAACAGTAAAATAGTATTTTTTCTATTGTTGCAGAAATGTTGCATCATTTTTCCTGACCTTTACCTCTTAGTGTGAAAAAGCTGCTAACTTGTCGTGAAACATATTCTCTTCCTCAGGCCGGTTTCACCCGTTCGTCTTGACTACGGTCAACTTGTTTTAATCTGGGGGGTGGAGTAGCAGAGAGAATCGGTCCCATGATTCCCCGCTCTCCTCGCTCTGATTGAGAGCCCCCAGAAGGGGATTTTTCTTTTCATGATGTTTTATAGAGAAAAACTTTATTTCAATAAAGGAACACTCATTTTGTGGATTTCAAAGCGATTTGTTGAAATAAAACCGATCTTTCAATTAAAGCTTCTGCCTCATTGTGTAAACTGCATCTTCATGAATGAGTCCACAATAATGAAACCTTCCAGTTTTATCTTTTTAAAGATGTAGAAGAAGATAGAAGATCTACTTTATTAATCCAGCGAGGGGAACTTCAATTATACACTCTGCAGCAAGACAACAGGGAAGTAAACGTGCAGCATTTCTTACCTGACAGACCGTCACACATTGAATTTAGCCATCAAGACTACAGCTGACCCTCTGCACCCCCTTTGGTCTGAGTAAGAACTCTTGACTTCAGAGTGCAGGTACAGAATGCCCAGGATGAGGACCACAAGAGGCCTCTTAGACTGACTGTAAAGATTATATCTCTTGTTCATCTTTCCGCTGTGAGTCCGCTTTGTTCAGATTCAAAAATTGGCCTGATTTTAGTTTGAAATTATGACAACTTTTATGTGGGTTCAAGGTGCCTCAGGAGATAAAGTGTCTGTGACATCACACCCAGCCGCATTGTTAAGTTCACAGTACCTCCTTTCTTGTGATATTGAAGGGAGAATGCAGTTTCTGGGAAGCTGGTCAGGACTCTTCGCTGTCTTTGACGCACCACTGGTTCATCTTTAAGGTGAAGCTCATTGTGGTAGGCAGAGAAAAAAGAAGAAGCTTAGAATATTTGGTAGAGTCGTCGCCTCTTGACCAAAATGTTGAGGGTTCGATCCCCAGCTGAGCAACATGTCTGATGTGTCCTTGGGCAAGACACTTAACCCTGCATTGCTCCCACTGCTACTGTGGCGGTGTATGAATGGTGATGTATGTCGCTTTGGATAAAAGCGTCTGCTAAGTGAATTGTAACATATTCAATTTATGGTAAAAGATGAAAACATTTTTAACAAACCTTTTACTTGACTTTGAGACAACATGGTCCTTCAAATTCATCCACAGTCAATATGTTACAAGTTAAAAGAAAAAATGTCTTTGGGTGATTTATTTTGTGTGAGACAGAAATTATTTATTACTTAGATTTTACTTGTCAGTAAAAAAGTAAACTATCAGAAGCATACATTTATAAACTGTTATGCATACCAGAAGCAGATTTTACACCTGTCTTTAGGTGCACAGCATAATATTTTTTTAATACTGTATAAATAATAGTTTCATTCAGAATATCAAACAATCGGAGCTGAAAAATATTTATTTGTTCAGACACACAGCTTTATTTAATTTTTGAAACGGGGTCCTTGGCTCCTAAACTGAAAGACATTTTTCTTCTGACCCAAACTCTTTTCTCCTGGGTACACTGACACCTTCAGCACTGATTCACCTTTAAGACTTTAATATGAGTCTGCTGCCCTCTAGTGGACAAAACTGAGAACTTTCTCTAACACCTCATCCCTGAGGAAGAGACAAAATACATTACCTCTAATTAACTGTTGAATATCAATAAAATGCCAGATTAGTTCAATCTGCCTGAGTTATTTGAATTACTTTTCCTGGCTTTACTCGTTTCCTTCATTTAAATTATAAAGAGTACCCACTCACTCATACAGTACATCACAAGACAACACATGAGATTCAATTATGCTGGGTTACTGCATGTTACACAAACAATGCACATTATTAATTTCAGCCAATCAAATTAAAAAGTAGACAGCAACATCAACGCATCAAAAGAAAGTCAAAAGAAAGATCAGACTGGACAAAGTGAGAAACAAAAAGGTAATAATATTTGATTAAAAAAGACGGCTGTGGGGCAATGGTAGAGTCAGTCTCCCAACTGGAAGGTCAGGGGTTCGATCCCCAGCTCCTGCAGCTACGTGTCCGATGTGTCCTTGGGCAAGACACTGTTAAATAATATTTATATCAGATATCTGTCATGTGACGGCCCTGTCCATGGTTCTTTGCCTGGTACTGATATTGTTTGGTGTTTCGGGTTTTGGCATCATCTGGTGGTTGGTGGTGGTATGCCTGCTGGTTGTTGGGAGACCCGCCCACCTACCTGTTGACTGGGCTTCACCTGAGTAGCAGGGCATATAAACCAGGCTGCCTCAGCTTTCTGGCTCTCTTCTTCTGGACAGCCTAGACTCATCATCTTCTGCCGTTGTATTTTTGTGTTGTTTTGGAATAAACTAGACCTCAGAAGCCAGTTGACTGTGTCCTTTGAATGTTAGGGTCAGCTACACGAGCTGGTCATAACAGTCATTTACTGCATTCAGTTTTAGATATGAATGTGTTTGCAATCTCAAGGAAAAAGAAAAAGGAATTAAAGTGTATTAGACAACATTTCAACTTCTTAGATATTATTTTGCAAATATTTTTTTTATCTTTTAATTTATATTTTTTAAATGTTATGATTTTCTTTTTTGATGTTTATGTTTCTTTTCTTCCATATTTTTCTGTTGATTGTTGCTGGATCAGAAGGGTTATAACTTGCAATGTAAACAAAATAATTGGTAATGTATCTAATTTTAAATTAAAATGTTTTCTGTTTATGTTTGCACCTGTATATCAGTATATACTATATATTTATTTTACTGTATTTCTTTCTGCTTTAAGATTTGATTCTCAGCAGATACAACAGGTGTGTGAGGATGCTAATATCTGCCACGAGGCTAAAACCACACACACACACACACACACACACACACACACACACACACACACACACACACACACACACACAAACACACACACACACACACACACAGAAAGAGAGAGAGAGAGAGAGAGAGAGGGGGAGAGAGAGAGATAGAGAGAGAGGCTGCTTCCATCAGCTCTGATGGGAAGTTCTGGTTAAACATTGGCCCAAAGTTTGCCTTCCGCCTTCTGTTGTTTTTACACTGGAGGTCGTGCATTTGTTGCAGCCGTTATTGACTTAGTAATTAAAGTATTTTAACGTGGGGATTCTGTAATCATTACATACGCCACCATCTGTCTCTGCACCGCTGCGTGAGCACCTGAGATGGATTTTTCCTCCTGAGTAGATAACGTATAAAAACCAATCGAGATGGGAGGCGGGAGGAGAACAACGTCACTGCCATTCAAAAACAGTCTGACTCATGCTAACAGCAGTTTCCTTTCTGTGGGGATTTTAATTCAGGACTCAAAATTGACCCGACAAATGCATCATTTAAGACAAGAAAACCTGCTTTTGTTAAATATTACATTTGAATAATTATGTAATATCTAATTATTTAATTAAACCTTCATGATTAGCTCTTTATTATTGTTAATGAAATCTAAAAGAATAATGAAAACTAAGATGGAAAAAAGCTGTTCTGTGTGTTTTCAAAACTAACTCAAATAAAAAAAGAATGTTTTTTCATACCGTCTGATGCTTTATGGTTCGTCTCAGGCACACTGATTTGAGTTTGGGATGAGCTTTTGTCAGAAGTGACGTCATGAAGTGTGTGTGCACAAAATGGTTTGATGTTTACCTTTTCTTGCCCGCTCTGGTCTTGACCTTGGCAAGTATCACATCACGGGCCTGTTAGAGAAAATCTAAAACTATTAAAAACTAAACCTTAACAAATAAGTTTAAGAATAAACTAAACTAAGCAGCATTAAAAACGTATTAAAACTAAAATAGAAACATAAAGCCATACTTTACTTTGTGCTCGCTGAGTCAAATGTTGGCTTGCTGGAGCTCTGGTGGCGTAATGATTAGTGTGCACGCGGCGCATGTGTGGAGGCTGTATTCTTCCAAGCGGGTGGCCCAGGTTCGAATCCCACCTGTGGCTCCTTTCCTGTGTGTTGTTCCCTACTCTCTCACTCCTTGATTTCTGACTCTATCCACTGTCCTATCTCTCAAATAAAGACACAAAAAGCCCAAAAATAAATTTAAAAAAATGCTGACATGCTGGTCTCAGAAAGGGAACATTGTACACACTGTAACCTGATAAACATCGGATCCTGATCAACATAGTCTAGCGGTTATGTTGCGGGCCCCTTGTACAGAGGCTTTAGTCCTTGTTGCGGTGGCCTTTGCTGCATGTCATCCCCCCCCCCCACACACACACACACTCTCTCCTCCCACACACACACTCTCTCCTCCCAGCATTTCCTGTCTCTCTACAGCTGTCCTTTCAATTAAAGGCAAAAGCAACCAAAACAAATATTTAAAAAAATCAATAAAGCCATTTTTAGCACATTAGCATCCTGTTATTGTCATTTCACTAAAAGCAGCACAAACCAGTGTACTGACATAAGGGCGGCCATTAAGGAATATTTAGATTACCCTCTTAGGGAAAGAGGAAAAAATAATTGGATTTTTAGATTGTATAAATTTCAGTTTTAAAAAAAAAAGCCTATTTTATTGATGCTTATACATGAGTAGTTACGGTACTTTTAAGTGTTTTTCTACAGTTTACTTTAGTAACTTGTAAACCCGAGTACTTCTTCCACACAGAGACAGCCGGACAGTAAAGACAGTTTTGTTTACTGTCTGATGATGCGTGCATCTTGCAGCAGCAATAACAACTTTTATGAATGAACAAGCTGCAGCACACGCAGCTTTTAAATCCCCCAACCATAAATACAGGTGAGGGGTAGAGAGGCTGTAAATAGCAGCGCTGTTAGGCTGGGACAGTGAAAAGAACACCAATGTGACTAATAAAGATTTATTTACAACATTTTACAGACAGGGGAAATGGAAGTCCTACGTTAAGTACAGCGTTTAGTAAGAAAAACACCGCTGGATTATTTCCAAAAAGAGGATAAATATCAGTATCAGAGGGGCTGTTGACATAGTTTTGATGATTCTAATTGATATTTGCCAATAATTTAATGGGAATGTCTTCCTTTAAATCCATACAGATGTGACACTGTAGTCTTTCTCTATACGTCTTTTTATTCTTGTGCAGGAACATCCCGGCTCCTGTCACTTAAGTTCATACTTTACTTCAGAGTTAAGATCCTCCAGTTTTAAATGTTCCATGTGTTCTCGTCTCTCACTCGTTCAGATGTCCTTGATTTTATACAAACCCTGCACTGCTTTTGTGCATCATGTGCTGTGGGCTTCTGGGTCATTGTACTCCCCCTGCTCCCATGAAGACGGTGTTGATGGGGGGAAGTGAAGACACCAGGTCCTGTACCTCAGAGGATGAAGGCCCACGCTGCTGGGAGAGCAGTGCATCCTGGGAGGTGAAGGGCGAGGAAACTCCAAACATGCAGGGAGCAGATCCTGACGAGGGGAGGGAATGATCTGAGGAGGCGACAACAGACATGAGAAGGATTTAGGAGCTCTACAGAGGAAAGATGGAACCGACATTTCTTCTGATCTTATTGATTTCAGGGTTTTTTTTAGCTGTTGTTTTGTCTTTCTTTCAAAGTTCAGAAACTTTAACTCAAGTTAAAATTTCTGAACTTTGAAAGAAAAAGTTAGTTCAGACTAACTTTTTGTGGCCATTTGGGGGCAGCAGAGGTAAGCTGTTAACATATCAGATTAAAGTCCCTACATGAGTATCTATCTAACTGTCGTGTCGTTGAGTATTTCTAACTGAAACGGGACAAAAAATCACATATAAAGTCTTAAAGGGACGCTGAATTAAATGTATTTTTAATTTAATTTTAACTTTCTGGAACAATGAGGCCGCTGAGAGGCCGCGGTTGGGCACTAATACCTCGTCTGACACGCTTTCCAAAAGAACACTGTGATACGAAAAAAATAAGTTTGACTTTTCATTAACGAGAAAATATAATCAACTTGTGATAAAGTGCATTAACTCACCCAAGTGACCAGCTATCCCCCTACTTCAATATAATCCCAATATAAGTGATATAATAATCCATCCAAAATATAACACACTACTTACCTTAACCTTAAAAACTTAAATTTATCCATGGCTCCAACACAACACACACTTTAATACCTGTTAAGTTTACGTCTATGATTTGTTCTATGGTTGCAACATATCCTCATTTATCACTCTAAGGACAGAAAAAGCTGACTACTATTGGTTAAAATAAAATATGACTGTTGGAGAGTTTTAGCAACAGACGTACGAGCAAACACATGAACTACATAGTGGAAAATGAATGGAGATCAGGCACAAAAGTACCTGGTTAGGTCTAAAAAAGATCTTGTTCTGGGCTTAAATAAGTCTTAGTTGTATAAAATAAGTAAAGTTCGACACTTTATTATTAAAGTGTTATTTGCTTGGTGTAAGTTACCTGAGTTGTGTAAATCTATTCATGCACAGAAGTTAAAATAAGTACATATTGACTTGGGGTTTACAAAGAGAAATAAGTACACTTGGACTCAACACAGACTATAAAAATCCTGTAAATCATCTCAGCTGCACGAGTTGAGCCCCTTCAGTGTTGTGTGTTTTTTTCACGCTCACCTGTCCCAGTTTCAGCCTGGGTAAAATAAGCTCCCGTCGTTTTCCTCCCCGGCTCGTCCAGGATGTTGAGCGGATCGTGGACCTCAGAGTAAGCTGACGAAAACGGGCGCAGGCTGCTCACCGTGCTGATCACAGACACGTGCTGGTCCACCAGTGATGTCATGCGCTGGCTGTCCAGGTAACCGCTGTTGCCGAAGAAACCTGCCACAGGGAAAAAGTTCAGCACTGAGTTTGTCCTCCCAAATGTCATGATTAGAAGCTGTTAAGGTTAACTTCTTCATGCAAACTCGAGTGGAGGGGGGTTGGAGGAGGAGAGCGGAGGCGTTTAGTGTGGAGCCAGTTTGTTTTGGTTTCATACTGGTGCTCAAGGACGACATCTACTGGATCAAAAAGTTGCACATTCTTCCTTTAAACTAAGACAGCATGGCATTACCTTTATCTTAAACTGGAATATTCAAGTTCTCACAGTTCTGCAACATTTTAATTTGATCTCTTTGAGTATTTAGTATTTAGAAATATGATGAAAGTTTAAGTTCTTTGGGCATAAATGTCATAAACTGAGCTGTCTTTACCTCCATGTCCCGCTGCAGAGTAAGTCTGTCCCTGACATCCCCCGCCTGTGTTGTTCAGTCCAGCCCCCACAAAGCCGAACCCCTCTGCAGAGTCCAGAATCTGAGCCGCTGTCTGTGCGTCCAGTCCCTGTTCAGTCTGAACCGGATCAGAGCCCGTGCTGTACCCCGATGTGGGTCTGACCGCGGTGTTATAAGGGGTGAGGGAGCAGGTGGAGCTGTTGGACGAGTGATGGTGGCTGTAGAAGACGTCTTTATTCAGGTGCTGGTCGTTGAAGGACGGGTACCGAGAGAGATGGTAGGCCAGCGATGAGGCCTGAGACTGAGCTGCAGACAGACACTGAGTCTGAGTCTGAGGCCTGAAACACACAGCCAACAATTGTCAGACTTATAAAATTAGATAATTACAACAAAAAAATTCAATTTCAGCTGAACTAGTAACCCAGTTTTATTTCAAATGTCCAATCAATAAGATATTTACTGAATTAAATCATAAAGTGACCTCACCATATGATCAGACATTAAGGAAACATGCTATGTTGAAGCTTCTCTGATAACAATGCAGCAGCCAGTATGTCCTCCTCCTAACTTTAGATTCTGGTCCTGAATGCTCTGGATTTGTTTGGACCAGATAAAGGTAGGCGCTTTTAAGGCGTCCCCCCCACACGGCCGTTTTGGACGCCCCTCTGTTTGCCAGATATGAGAGCAGTTATCAGGTCAACAGGTGTTGCAGCGATGGAAGCGGGCAAGAGAAGTGGTTCAGATAGAAGTGATTGTACCCGACCTAAAAAGCCTCTGCATGTTTCTAATAAGCTCCACGAGCAGAAACGTGCTCAAACTAGGATCAATATTGGAGATGCTTTTGAAAAATGGAGAGAGGTTAGAACACAGAAAGGTTTACCCATTTTAAACACTAGGTGTCAGAGTTACATATTGCCCCTTTAAGTACTTTTTAAACATGACTAAAGATAAATGCTTCCTTTAGTTTAGAAAAGTCCTACGGTGCCTTTCATATTATTATTATGGCCTCATGCTGCACAGATATTTAGTGAACACATAAACAGTTCATACTTATTTTTTGTGTTCTCAGAAATATTTTTGCGTTTTAAAAAAAGAAGAAAAGATTAACCATTTGAATAAACATGAATGATTATACAAATCGATATTTCACTCCTACTTCAGAATAAGACTCTTTAATAATCTAGAGCCGAGGTTCTCAACTGGTCAAGATTCAGGACCCACCACCAACCCCATCATGATAAATCCCAACCCCAATTTCTGTTTATTTTCAACCAATGAGAATGATTTAATGATTAATTATGCAGTTTGGACCTCAGGCAGTAAAAAACATGTGACAGAAGGTAGTATAATAGAGAGGTGGATGGCACTGCCAGGGCTTTAATAAATCAAGTTAATTACATGAATACTATAGCCGTCATGTGTCAGTAAACATGTTGTAGATAAAGAGAACTTCATGAAGCCGACCTGAGAGCACTCTGGTAGTTGGAGGCCGAGGAGCTGCTGACAGGAGGGAAGTAACTGGAGCTGGTCTGAGGTAAGCAGTGATACAGGGTCTCCGGGTAAGAAGAGCAGGGGCTTGGCTGGGTCATGGCACTGAGCGAAGACAGGCAGGAGGAAGAGGCGGAGGAGCAGGTGGAGGACGAAGACGTAGACGTCAGGGGTCTCCCTGTCATGGGCCCCTGGTTGATGACGGAGCCTCGGTGCACTAACGCTGCCGGAGAGATGGGGGGCGTCATGAGGGGGCCGCTCACCTGAGAGAAGTCCATCTGCACACCTGTGTGTATAATAACAGGCTTGTTTCAGGTCAAGTTAAACAATGTCCACAGGGGGGCGCCAAAATGGACACAAACTAAACGTTCCTAACAGGAGCTTTAAATGTATGAAATTCATAAAAAAGCACTTTTCTTGATACTCTGGTGACATTTTCAAATTGAAAATAATGAGATGTATCTTTCCCCGTCGCTTGCTACAGGCATGAAAGGACAATAAATGTCAGGGGCCTAATAAGACAACACACAGTTGTAAAATTTGAGCAACAACAAACATCATTTCGCCGTTACCCCGCAAGACTTACACGTCCTTACACTACTCTGCTCTTACAAAAACATGGAGCTCTAAACTTGATGATGAGCCTTTTTCTGTTTGTTGTGGCAACACAGAAACATTCAAACCAATGTTTTCACATCTGGTTTGAAAGAAGTCGATGTAGGTGGCAGTTTGTGTCACCTACCTCACAGGAAGCAACAAAATTTAATGGAAATTTAAGATCATCAAGATGAAATAAGCACATCCAACATGCTGTCTGTGAGGCCAGTTATAAAGATGTGTACATTATAGTTAATCATTTCTAAAACCAAAATAAACATATTAGTGTATTTAAGTTGTAAAGGCGGTGAAAGGGTTAATAAAAAATATTTAAAGATATTAATGTTTCATTAGATTCTTTTACCTGAAACTGTAAACCCTGCAGGTTCCGCCCCCTGGTAAATGACAGTGTTGGTTTCCAGACTTTGGTGCTGCTGATTGGTTGACAGAGACATGTAGGCGTGGCCTCCCAGGGACTCGTTCTTCACCGATTGGTCGACGGCAACACTGGCTTTGTTACGATTGGCTAGAAAGCAGGAGCTAGGAGAAGCCATGAACGCGGCTTTACTGGCATCTGGAAGAGACACAAAAAAAAAAATCAGAAAACAAGGGAAGAGCATTTTTTTTTACCAGAATCCCACTGTGACATCACAAGGAGAGCACATTTGAAACAGAGCATTTTTGTCTGTGTTGTAAGACTTATGCAGACCACAAACAAAGGACTGGATGGGTTTATTTCACATTTTGTGGGTCAGTAGAAACTCAGGTTACCCAAATATATGTTCAAAAACACAGTCAAAGGGGATTTTTCATAATATGTCCCCTTTAAATCAGTTCTCCCCCGGTGTTTGTAAACTAGGACATGGACAGTAGTTGAATTAACCGAGCTGTATCTGTAGCTCGACTTATCCGTGTATGTAAACGCTCTGGCTGTGTCAGTGTGGTTTCAGATGTTTTGATGTTTAATAACCTGCGTTTTTCATGTATTTGTCCAGCAGGTTCCGCAGGGCCTGCTCCTTGTCGTTGTTGAACTGAGTCTCCAGAGCGAGCAGGATGTACTCGTCCAGCAGCATCCTGATCAGGTGGAAGGAACCTGCAGGATTCAGAATGTACACAAAGAGAAAGAGGTGGTCATAAAAACACTGCGGTAGACTTTTGACTACCTGATTCCAGCTGAGCTCACAGCTTTATCTCCTGTTTGACCTTTAGGCTCAAGCTGCTCTTTGTTTGACCTGCAGGGTTACAGGTTCAACCCTTCTGTGTGTGTGTTTGAGCTTCAGTCAGAGTTCAGAGACACCAAATGGTTTGTGTTTATTCACGTACACAAACTGAGCGTGCGAGTGTTTGAACAGAGAGCACGCGACCCGAGAGATAAGACTGTGTTTAATCAAGGCGAGTCCGGCCATTATGATTTATGGCGCTATTGTAGCAATCTGCTCCAAGCTGGTATTAGCCTTGTGTGTAAGTGTGTGTGTGTGTGTGTGTGTGTGTGTGTGTGTGTGTGTGTGTGTGTGTTTGTGGCTTCATGATGGATAAAAGGAGCACAGAATTAATAAGCTGAGTCCAACATGACACATTTATATTAAAAAGACAAAAAGGTTTGGCATTACAACTTCTTATTTTATCGCCCGTCAACCATAAAAATTGTTCTCTCTTTAGAGTTCACTCTTTTCATTTTGGAGAGTCAACAAAAGAACAACTTTTTCCACAGCACCATAAACATACACATTCACATACCGTGTTTGATGTTTTTTGAAACCCAAGTTTCGTAAAAGGTTTTCAAACCTAAATATCAAACATGTTTGAAATAAATCAGGGCGTCTCCTACGATCTCTGAGTAGATGGGGGGACTTTAAGGTTGGAGCTTCACACGACTCACACTACAAGATCATATGGTAAAATAAGCAGCCCTTGAGTCGGGAATGACCCAGCGATTGTCGGGAAAGGAGGAATCGGACCTCAAATCAG